TAGGTACTTACTGGTATTTCCTGGTTACATCAATAGCATTGGTATAGTTTACTCGTAGCACAGACTTGACAGAGGTAACATCCCGCGTTATACCACCAGAAAGACTGGTTACATCAGTACCATTAGAATACCATTGAATGTGCTGGATTAATGGTTCCTTTACCTGGCACGTCAACTCGACATAGCTACCAATTGATGCTGTAAGGTTTCGATTTGTCAATTTGGTTATCTCTGGAGCAGAAGCTGTGCAAAACGGTTTATACTAATTAGTTGCAATAACAAGAATATGCCACACACTATGCCATATTGTAAATACTGCAAAACGTCTGATTATACTTACGAGACTTGCATCCAAAGACTTCAATTCTCATACATACTGCAGTATTCCAGGTCTGGGGATGCACTTTGATATATCTTACTGTGAGTGGATGACTTAACCATCGGACTGCAATACTACTTCTGTCACTGTTTCCTTGAAAGATCTACAGTGAAAAGCATGGATACCATCGTAAACAAAGGAGGATATTTTAGAACAGATAGTGACTATATACTGCAATTACCTTGACACTATTTCCGCCTTCTCGGTGATAATTCCATTGGATTCCATCGATACTGTATTTGATGATGTAAGTCTTGACCCATTTATCCATGGTGTGGTAACCCTGTGTAGCTATACCAGTCAGTGTAACCATCTTCACAAAGTCAATCTGTATGTACTCTGAGTTTGATGATGTCCTACTGCACCATGATGTATTACCATAGAGACGTCCATCAGATGCATCATGGGAATTGTCTGCTTTAGAAGATGATGTTATCTTGATATTCCCCAAGTTGCCACCCTTTTCAAGACCAAATGGTTTTCTGCATACTATATGAAAATAAAAAAAGCTGAGGAATCAAATTCATTACATTACTTACGATATTGATGACCTACAACAGTTTAGAATACTACATGATCTGATCTATGTCTTTGCAAAAATACAAAGACAGAACAAAGCTCAAGAAAATTACAGTTCTTGGCATCAAATGCGAACGCATTATGGGACCAGGTAGGTGACCACATATAGTCACTATCATTATCAACATTATTCACCCTAACGAGYAACCACATACCTAACGGTACACCATATACGTCAACCCTTATCGCTGCATAATCATTCCAGGCCACAGGGTAAAATCTTATAAACTTAGCCTTAGTTGGAATTGCCAGAGTGTTTGTTTCGATAGTCGTTCTGTCTGTGTTTCCTGTAAATATCTGAAACAAAAACACACCATGAAGCGATGACTGAGAAGATGTTGGTTCTCTGCCGCTTGATTACCTATCCGATAACTATTTTTCCAGACCCCATATTTACTACATTTCGTTAGGAATGTCGCGAGCTATAATTGCATTTGATTTTTGCCCAACTATTTATTGAATTGGGTGGGACAATAATTATTGTAACTGCTATCCTTTGATCACCTTGTCTACATTATTTTCCTGGTAATATTTCCAATTAATATTATCACTTGACGTCCTGAGCTTGTATTTCTTGACGTATTCATTAGGAGGAAAGCCACTCCCTTGTGTTGCAACAGCACAAATAAACACCACAGAACCAAGATCTATGTGCAGCCAAGAACCAGATTGTTTGCCCTTTGCAGGTTCCCAGGCTTTATTAATCCGTAGCCGGGCATTAATTGGTATATAGCGGATATCATAATATGAACTCGCAGTGAATCGGTGATTAGGAACAATAGCTGGAGATGGTATACCAATGGAAATCCTGGAACAACCTTCAAAAAGACAGTCTTTTGAATTAAAAGGAATAAAACAGTCACATTGCGGAATATAAAAGTACATTCATTAAGACAGTTGCGAAATTTGGAACTGACTTTTCTTGTGCTAATTCTGGAAAATTTGTTCTAATTACTTTTTCAACTAAAGGAGCTTGATGAGTCTTCTGTGCTTCAACAATTGCTTGCTCTGAAACCTAACAAAGCTATTGGATTAGACAAAATCAGCTCGAGATTATTGAAGTGTGCTGCTCTCACAATTGCACCATCAATTACTAAGCTTCTCAACGCTTCTATCCGTTCTGGCAAATTTCCTGATATTTGGAAATGTTCAAAAATAAGAGCGTTGTTCAAATCTGGTGATAGGACCAATGCATCTCACTATCGACCGATATCTATTTTGCCAACTCTGAGTAAACTTCTAGAACGTGCTGTTCACGCCCAACTATATGAATATTTGAGTACAAATGATCTTCTTTCGAACAAGCAATTTGGATTTAGACGTGGCTCCTCTACTGTATCGGCTTTATCAGCCTTCTCTGGTGAAATGTTGCTGAACATGGAAAACGGAAAAATTTGTGGAGCTGTGTTTCTCGATCTCACGAAAGCTTTTGACACTGTTAGCCATGATACACTTCTATCAAAATTATCAGC